TAAATCTTATTTATAGTGAAGCACAAGATGATGAGAATGCAAATGATGAAATATCTGATGATGATATACCTACTGCTAGTACTCGTCAACAGTGGCAATATGCACATAGACAATTTCATCAAAGGATGGTTGCTTGATATCAAAGTTAGGAGCAGAATAGAAAAATACAAGTATGTTTTAAAAACACCAAACCAGATAATATGAAACAAGTTACTGAGTTAGATGATACAAATCAAATAGAATATTTACCTTCGGTTTTTACTATTGGTCTGCTTGATAAAGTCCGGGCTGCAATTTATCTATCAATGGATAAATTATGGGCAGTTCCAACTGACCTTGCCCTAGTTGCTACATACCTTGATCCAAGGTTTAAACATTTTAATTGGGCAACAAACAATGAAAAAGAAAGAGCACAGAACCTAGTAAAGACCTTATATGATAAATTAAAAATCAAGCTTACTATTCCAGATGATATTGAAGAAAGTTTTGTGGATAAGGATTATGAAGATAATGATGACTTTTTTAATGAATTAGAAGCGAATTCTATACAAACAAACTCAGAAGAAGAGGATGAGGTAACACGCTATAAAAAATTAAAGGAAATTAAGGTCAACGATGATCCTTTAGGATGGTGGTTAAAAAATAGAGGTAGTTTGCCTATTTTGACCCAATTAGCACGTAAATACCTCTCCATTCCAGTTACTTCTGTGCCAAGCGAAAGATTGTTTTCCGATGCTGGCAATCACATTTCAGCAAAGCGGACCTGATTATCACCAGATTTAGTGAATAAAGTTTTATTTTTAAAACGAAATGGTGTTCATTTTGATATATTTCTACTACAAGAAGGATAGTTTAATCCGATGGTTTATTTTTATTGATTATAATATAATCACAACTACTTATTAATATAAATAAAGGTTTTAACTTGATTACTGTTGGCCACTACCTACAATACTTGGATTTTAATAATAGATATTATTTGGGGGATATTGTAAGTGGTGGCCAATAGTATTGAGGATTCTTTGGCGATATACTAGTGAAATAGTGAACAAGTTATGTGCATAAATAATCATAAATCGTAAGTAATCATATATATATAACCTAGTATTACTATTATATTGAGAGAGCTTATAAAACTATCAGCACAATTTATATTATTTGTATTAGAACAATAATAACTTTGGCACATGGTGTTACATTATTAATCTGACTGTAATTGAGACACTTAATTATGTCTACCGGTAATCGATCAGGTAAATAATTAATTAGATTATATTACCGCAATTGGATCAATAATTATGGCGCTTAATCAGTAATATTAATATCGAGGGTTGGTAATAGGGTATTAACAAAAAGAGTAAGAACAAACACTGGTAAATTTTAAAAAATTCGACGCATTGAATAGCAGTTGAATGATGCCATTCAACGCGTCGAATTTTTTAAAATTTACTAGTAAAAAAAAATAATACGATCAGTAAGAATCTTAATGGTTAGAAATAATAAAACACTAAATACGTCACTAAACTTATAACAATAATTGAGAAATTGATTTTTTATATCCTTTATATAACTAAGACATCGAAGCCTAAAGCTTTATGAGAAGAGCGAAAAGATAGCACTTCTATATTTTCAAGATACATAAGAGACTTACAATAGATACTGTTATGCAAAGAAACTTTCACACTTAAACTTTCTTTGTATAACCATTATACTCTTAGATACTTTGCATATACTTTTAAATATACTTTGTGAAACATTTATTAATAGCTTATGCGTA